TGCTTTTTGACCTTTCTGACTCTTTTTTTTTCTTTTAGTTTAATGTCAGTTGGGGCCCACAAGAGGTGAACCTAACCAACAAATCTCTCCCTCTGCCTTACGTGAAAAATCACGAATAGCCAAAAACTTCAGCTAATCAAAAAACATAGTAAGAGACACAAAACATTTTACCCTAGTCACATACTAAATGCTCAATATTAATAATAAAACAACATTTTCATCGTCACGAAGGTGAATTAATACAAATGATGAAAAAAACCCTAACGACAATTGGAGAATTCAGAGAAAACTCTCAATAAACAAAACCGATTAACTTATAGCCCTCGGTCTTATGAACAACGTACTGAAATCTGAGCAATTCCGTCAATGTTTGGCTTAATCCGCGCTCCTATTCTTCCTTCTCCTTCGGTCGCTCTCGGTCGCCTATCTCGATGCACTCTTTTTTCTCTCCTCTCCTCTCCTCTTGGCTCACACGCACGAAGCAGGCCCCTTCTTTCTTTTCTTCTTTGCTTTTTGACTTTTGGCTCCTTTTTTTTTTTTTTCTAATCCAATGTCAGCTGGGCCCCACAAGAGGCGGACCCAGCCAACAAAAAGGATGGTTCTTTTCTTTGCCCGGTGAAAAAATAATTTTTATATTAAATCTCATTAAAAAGCAAAGGCTAAAAGCAAACGTCCAGCGAAACCGAAACATAAAAAATATCCATGCCTAAACCCTAATCTTCCCTCAAATTGAAATCGCACAATTTAGGACGGCCAGATTCCCAAACCAAACACTCCCATGGATCGAGTCTGTAGACCGGATATCATCAACCCTTATTAAATCTTATGGTACTCGCATAGATATATTGTGTTATGCATATTGATATCTTGTGTTATTAGTCAATAGTGATTGGCTCGATCAAACATATCTGATCTAGTATTTTGCTTTATCACCGATAATTTGTGCAATATCACACAATATCTTCTCCCAAGCTCTCCAATGTTATACTCTTATTTTGAATGTTAAGCGCACAGTGGTCAAACTAATAAATTTTATTAGAAGTCCTAAAATTTTGGGTACGAGATTTGATTGATCAAGGGTCTCTTCTAATTATGCAATCAAGTCTTGAGAGAAGTACTTTGTCATCATTTCTCATACACCCACCAAGTGGCAATTTCTGAGGCAAATTGTGAGAAGATTGTCTAATCAATTTTAAGCCTATTTTAAGATTTGATTGATGAATGGTCTCTTCTAATTATGCAATCAAGTCTTGAGAGAAGTCCTTTGTCATCATTTCTCAGACACCCGCCAAGTGGCAATTTCTGAGGCAAATTGGGAGGACAAAAACATTGGATTGTGGATGATAGATAATTCAAAGCATGTGCATTGTTAATTGTGAATTATCTTGTTTTTAACACCTCACAGTGCCTATTGTACTTTAGCACATATTTAGAATAATCGAACGAAAGGAAAAACACTTGGAAATTCAGGGGAAAATAGTGCAAGAGCAAACATTACACCAATAGAATAATGACTAAATTTCTTCATTGTAACTAAGGGCTATTATTATGAGTTCTCTACATTCTGCTTCTTATTGTACGACGGCCAATTCAGTCGTGAACCTTTCAATTGTACCATTTAGTTCTCAACATTTTGACAACTTGCCAATATAGAAAATTATCCAAAAAGTCCTAAATATATTGCACATTTGACAATTCAGTCATAAACATTTTAATTGTGCGAATGAAGTCCCAAACATTTTCAAGCTTTGCCAATTGAGTTTATCTGGCTAATTTTGATCAGAAACCGCGGACGTGGATACCGACCGTCCTACGTGGGACAATCAGTACTAACGTGAATAACTTTTAATAATATTTTAATTTTTTTCGAATCTATTGTTATTATTATAATTTCCTTTTTTTCTTTTCTTTTCTTTCTTTTTTTCTTTTTCCTTCTTTACTTTTTATTTCTTTTTTCATTGTTAAGGCCAGCAAGGGGCCGTCGGCCACCAGCCAAGGCCCGACAACCCCCACCAGCCATTGGGCGAGGGCCTACAAACCCTCGCAGGCCGCGGGTGCAGGCTGCGAAGCCCTCATCAACAGTTGGCGAGGGTTGCGGCCCTTCCTGCCCTCGCAACTGCTAGTGAGGGCTCACAAGCCCTTGCCTAGTGGCCGACGAGTGTCACCAGGCCTCGGCCTATGACCGAAGGCCCTTGTCAGCCTTAATAATAAAAAAAGAAAAATAAGTAAAGAAGGAGATAAAAAAAAAGAAAGAAAATTAAAAAAATATTAATAATATCTGAAAATTTATTAAAATATTATTAAAACTTATCTATGTCAACACCGCTCATGCTACATAAGATAGCCGGCATCCCCGTCAGCAATTTTAAGCCAAAATTGGTCAGATTGACTCAATTGACAAAAAGTAAAAATTTTAGGACTCAATTGACATAATTAAAAGGTTTAAAATTGAACCGAATAAGTTTATAATGTTTTGGACAATTTTCCCTATATATCTTGTCATCTAATAAAGTCAATTGCTCATGTACTCTTCACATTGACACACAGAAGTATACGGATATTACATAATTCTCCCTTCCAAGTATCTCTAATATGGTGTAGTCCCCCTGCGCCTCAACCTTTTTGTCTTTTACGAGAAGGTATGGTTAGAGTTAGGGAAAATTGTCTGAAATGTCCTAGACATATTGTTAAGCAGCCGATTTATTTCTAAACCTTTCAATTAAGCCAATTTAGTCATAAACCTTTTAACAACTTGCCAATTTAACTCTTAACATTTCAATTGTGCCAATTTAGTCCTAAACTTTTGATAATTTGCCAATTTAGTTCTAAACCTTTCGATGATTTGTCAATTTAGTCCTTCCGGCTAAAATTAACCGAAAATCTCTGATGTGACAATCTAGTTAGCACCGACCATCCTACATGGCATGGTCGACACTGACGTGGATAATTTTTTCAATTTTTTAATAAAATTTTTAATTTTTTAATTTTCTTTCCTTTCCTATTCTTTTTTTCTTTATCTTTATCCTTTTCTTTTCTTTTCTTTTTCTTTTTCTTTTCTTTCAATTTTTATCAACACATTCCCCAAAATCATCTTTAACAATCATCATTTATTGTCAAAATCAAATCATACAACACCCTTATTCTTCCTCTAACTCCATTGAATTTCATTAATTCACAAATTATAGATATAATATAATAGTAGATAGATTATGGATCTTTGTTGCAATCCTTTATATGTTGCGTAACTTCTTTTAACACATTTTTAAGGAACATATATATATTATTTATTATTAGTCAACATATATAGTTCATAGAAATGACTTCTTTACATATTACATCATACAATTTTAAAATATTCTTTTCTAAAATCAATGTTAGATAAATGAAAAAACATTTAAGCTTTTTTTTTTTTATCTAATTAGGGTAAAAGGTAAGGGTTTCTATGGAATTTAAAACGAAATGGAAGAAAATGGTGCTTTGTGATTACTTGGTTCGACCATAACTTCTATTCTACCCAACTTTCTTATCATTTATTTGATTGCCTGGCTACACGCGAATTACCTTTTTTGTCCCAAACCTCCTAGATTGGAATCTTCTAATACTCTTTATATGTGAACTGAAGAATTTCCCCAGCTGTTGGGTCAATGAAGCCATGTGAACTGATACTTTGTATTCATTACCCACTTCATAGTTGGGGCAGGTTGTCTGGAGTTCAAAGCATTAGGTACCAAGGAAAGTGACATGAACAAAGTCCTTTGCTGTTGCTGAAAATACGGGATGAAATATGTAATCATCTAGTTCTCTCAGTGCTTGACATTATGTTCGTCGGGAAATTTGCAATCACTTAGTGTTTGTCAACTTTAGGTCTATATTTTACCTGGAAGACCTGCAGCTGCAAAGTTAATCACAAGTCTGGAGTCATCTTATGTCAACTACGTCTATTTGCTGATAAATCCACCAAGTTCCCTGAACAGGCAGGACAAAAACCTAGAAAAAGACTATAATCAGGAAAAAGACGTCAATATTTGAACTAGGGCTATACCGCAAAATATCCTTCCAGAAGATCCACAAAGTATCATTTACTTCAGGAACTTATAGAGAGTTTTATCATATAAAGGAAACACTTCCATGGACCTCATTCCCCACGTAAGAACTTGTCCGAAAATTATTTTTGTTCAGTACAGTGAATCGATAAAAAAAAGAATAAGGTGCAAAGATGTAAACAGATTCAATAGAGAACAAAGATAAAGCATGGACAATGATGCTTACTATGGACTTCCAAAATTTTGGGCAGATTGATTTGGTATAGATTCAAAGCTGACGGGTCGGTGCTGAACGAATCATCCAGCATTTTCTTGTTTCATTGTATCATTGACCCCCGGGGCGGGTCAATTTAGCTATGATGAGAAGTGCTCTGTTACAATCGTGTCCCAAGCATATTACGTGTGGAGCCCAAGAGAAGCCATCAAGATTGACAATAATGAAAAGCATTCCTATAGGTCAACACGAAATACACCTGATAAAGTAAATTCTATAGGTGAAATCCTCATCTTATTCGGCAAATATTTCATCTTATTTTACTGCCCTCGCTCATGAGAATGCTTTTGATCTGTAAGAAAGTTTTGCTGTCGTTGTTGATCAGAGCCCAATACTTGGGGAGCCCCAATACAGCTTAAAAATTTAACACGTTTAATATCTAGTTAAACCTACCTTCACCGAAAAAGTAAAGTCATTCAGTTATTATCAATTGCTTATTCTGTATTTCAGACATCAAATATAAGTTTCTTTTTTCTGTCACTCTTCACCCGTGAACTTGACAATTCCCTCCCTAGCGTGGCGGGGAAAAGAAGCAATGTAAGAGCCACCTTACAATAATTACAAGATTGACTGCAGTGAACAAATATTCCAGGAGGTCAACACTTCGACGCATCAAATAGTTTCTTCTTCCCAATTTGCTTCTCTTATAAAGGTGAACACCCATTAGAAGAAAGGGTAAGAAAAATCAGCCAGAAATAGCGAAATCGCCATTTAGTACTGCAATTTGCTTCATGCTATTGTCTACTTTTCATACTCATGAATTGGCCTAGCAATCTTCTCAATCTAATTATATCATCAGTTCTTTACAGAGTGTGCATTTCCACTGAACTGATTACAAGAGAAAGCACTATCAGAGATGGTGATGTGTTGATCTCCAGTGGTGGAGAGTTTGCTCTTGGCTTCTTTAGCCCTGGCAATTCTAGCCATAGGTACTTAGGAATATGGTACAACAAAATTTCTGAGAAAACGGTCGTGTGGGTCGCCAACCGGGACAACCCCATCAAAGATACTTCAGGACATCTCGGTATCGACAATCTGGGGAATCTGCAACTCTACGACACAAAGAGAAACATCTCTGTTTGGGGCAGCAATCTTTCATTATCTTCAGTGGTGAGTGACTGTGTAGCTCAAGTTTTGGATTCGGGTAATCTCGTTCTGTTTCAGGATGGCAAGAAAAGTTCAGTCCTTTGGCAGAGTTTCGACCATCCAACAAATACTTTGCTCCCCTCCATGAAACTCGGGCTCAACCGCACCAGTGGCCTAAATAGAATCCTCACGTCTTGGAAGTCTCAGGATGACCCCGGAATGGGAACGACTTATTACATGATCAACCCCAGTGGTTTCCCGCACTTCACCTTGTACAAAAATCAGGTTCCGTTGTGGCGACCGAACCCCTATAACGGAATCAAATTGATTGGGATTCCCGCTGAAGACCAGTCCTCATTTTTCAACTTAAGCTTCGTAATTGATGCTGATGAGGTCGTATTGGTGTCAAATGTTTTTAACTCAGCGATCCTCGTGAGGGTAGTGGTTCAAGAGTCTGGGATTGTGCAACAGTTCACTTGGGTCGAAAACAAATGGGTCAATTTTTTAACCAAACCAGAGGAACCGTGTGACTCCTATGGGCATTGTGGTGTCAATGGAAACTGTGATTCTAGTAGCATGGACCAAATTGGTTGCAAGTGCCTACCCGGGTTTTCCCCTAAGTCCCCGAACAATTGGCGCATGAGAGATAGTTCAGGTGGGTGCGTGAGGAAGAATCAAGAATCAGTTTGCCGGAATGGTGAAGGGTTTGTAAACGTACCTGACGTAAAACTGCCAGACACTTCGGTCGCATCTTTTGACAGGAATAGGACTTTGAGGGAGTGTGAAAGTGAATGCCTGAGGAATTGTTCATGCACGGCCTATGCAGATGCAGATTTTACAAGAGGAGGAAGTGGATGCTTGATGTGGTACGGAGACTTGATGGATACAAGAGAGATCTCAGGCGGAGGACGAGACTTATATGTGCGCGTGGATGCACTTGTATTAGGTAATCCTAAAAATGGGAAAATCAGTAGGAGATTCTAATTTGCTCATATTTTTGTCACTAATATGTTGTGATTGCAGTTGCACAGTCAGTCTTATTTGATAGATAAACTAAGAGTTTCTCCTATCAGCTGAGTTTCAGAAGAAAGGATTTTTTTCGAGGAAAAAGGTGTTGGCAACCTTCATAGGGTTAGTTTCTGCTGCAGCAATAATCTTTCTTGCGGTGTCTATCGTGCTCATGAAAAAGAAAAGAAACGGTAAGAATTATCTGCATGTTTCTTGGACTGTCTACACTACAGTCCCTTCTTTTGCTGCTTTTAAAACCAGAAATATACATGTATCGCACTAAAGTTCTGGCGCTTATAGCGACTCTAGGATTTGGGTCTAGTGATGCCACAGATTCTTGTCACGAAAATTAGTGTTGACTCATACTGATTCGTAGTTCTTTTGTGTGATAGGCTCTGAGGATGGAGAAGAGCTAGATGGAACAACAAAAGATCAAGAGTTACCTCTCTTTGATATCACCACAATTAAAGCTGGCACAGACAATTTTGCCTCAACGAACAAGCTTGGACAAGGAGGATTCGGTCCAGTCTACAAGGTACTATACCATGTCCTAACACTAAAAGTTTTTTGATCTCCCTTTCATGGATATGTCTTAAGGCGAGGCGATATTTCAAGGGCGCTTGACCAGTGGACAGGAAGTAGCTGTGAAGAGGTTATCGAAGAGTTCAGGACAAGGGAGTCAAGAATTCAAGAACGAAGTCATGCTTATAGCCAAACTCCAACACAGGAATCTCGTGAGGCTTTTGGGCTGTTGCATCAGTCAGGACGAGAGGATGTTAATCTATGAGTACTTGCCTAACAAAAGTTTGGACTGCTTCATTTTCAGTATGGCCTCACCTTCTTTTTCCTCTTCATGTTAATCTAATTGCTGAAACGCCTCACCATTGGCATCGATTTCATGACATAACGGGCCGTGAATTCCTTTTTCTGGTTTTGGGTCACAGATGAAGAAAAAAGGACAACCCTTGATTGGAACCAACGTTTCAAAATTATTCTTGGAATTGCCCGAGGAGTTTTATATCTTCACCAAGATTCAAGACTTAAAATCATACATCGAGATCTCAAAGCGAGTAACGTCCTCCTCGATGCTGCAATGAATCCGAAAATTTCCGATTTTGGGATGGCTAAAATGTTTGGAGAAGATCAGATCCAAGCGAATACCAACAGGGTGGTCGGAAAATAGTAAGCTATTCTACACTGTCTAATCAAGTCAATTAATGCACTAAGGGAAGAGATACAAATTGACTATATGTCCAGTGATATTAATGTTGTCCAATTTTGTGTAGTGGTTACATGTCTCCTGAATACGCAATGCAAGGACTATACTCAATCAAATCCGATGTTTTCAGCTTCGGTGTCATATTATTAGAAATAGTTAGTGGCAAGAGGAATACTGATTTCAACAATGACAGTTCATATCTCAATCTAATAGCACAGGTAAGAACATAGAAGAGATAATGTCACAAATAGTTCCTGAAGTTTGGCTCAATGTGCAATTTGATCCCTAAACTTTTAATTCGTTCAATGTAGTCCCTGAACTTTAACCTAATGTTCAATGTGGTCCCTGAACTTTTAATTGGTTTAATGTGGTCCTTGAACTTTTGGTACATGTTCAATTTAGTCCTTAAACTATATGAAAATGTACAATATAATCCCTGAACTTGAATTAATGGAAGGACTATATTTAACATTTTTATAAAGTTCGGGGACTATATTGAACATGTACCAAAACTTCATGGGCTACATTGAACAAATTGAAAGTTCAGGGACCACATTGAACACTGGGTTAAAGTTCAATGACTACATTAAACAAATTAAAAGTTCAGGGATCAAATTGCACATTAAGTCAAAGTTCAGGGACTATATGTGTCATTTTCCCAACATAGAATGAAAAATTCCTTCACCCCGATTTACCTTCAACTGCTTCTTGAAATCAAATTTCATTGCTTAATCTCTAAAAGTCGTTACCTTCAACTTTTGTAGGTTTGGAGCTTATGGAAAGAAGGAAAATCATTAGACATAGTTGATTCATTGATGGCCCAACCCTACAACTCTAGTCAGGTTTCGAGAAGCATCCAAATTGGCCTATTGTGCGTACAAGAATGCGCGGCAGACCGGCCAAGCATGATGGACATTGTCTTAATGTTGGGTAACGAGGCAGCTCTTGCGTCTCCTAACAGGCCTGCATTCATTTTGAACGGAAGCGGCAATACTCTCGACCTTCCACTGATTGCAGCAGCTTCTACAACCAAGGTAACCATAACCGAGCTCGACGGTCGATGATTGCACTGGATGTGACCATTGTTTTATATTTCTATGTTTCGAATCAGATAAAGCATTCCCATGTAGCCAAAAAAAATAATACTAAGAGTGCTCCTTTAGAGGTTACCAGGACAGGATTGTAACAACTGCCAAAATGGAGTTCAACTATCTAAATGCAGAATTCCAGGCAACAAAGACGGATCAACAGCTTGTATCAAGAGATTAGACATTAGTAATAGGAGATGCAGGACGATTCTGTTGCTCTGTGCCCGAAATAACGAACTGTCCTTGTCTGGTTAAACTCATTATCATTAACTTATTTTTATCTTGATTGCACGAAAAATCCCCAATGTAGCTTCTAACTAGACAGATTCCGAAGCACGTGACATTACATCCATAAATGCTCACCTTCTGTAATAGTGAAACAGCAAGCACAGCTCTTTTCCCTCCAACAAAAGTTTCAATTTGACTTAGAATCTTTTTTATTCATCTAATTATTGGAAATCTAGCTTACGACTTTTGAATATCATCAATTAGGAAAACAACATGCTGACTATTTTAGTCCTTTGCCTCGTGCAACTCAAGGTGCTTGAAGATTTCGTCATATAGACATTTGAACTCAAATCCTGGGCGAAATTGGGACAAATGATAATTGTATGGGGTTGAGCAAGACAACTCTACACATATAAGTGGGTAAAATGTAATTTCTGTAACAAGCGATGATGATGATTGTTCACATAAGTTAATTTTACCAAATGTTATCGAATCGTGTGAGCATAAGTCTGAACGCCAATTAGTTAATTTTAGATTAATCTGTCAATGATGTACATGTAAGCTTACCAATTGGAAACAAGACTCTGGTGAATCCCATGGAACTTGGTTTAATGGTCTAAGGAATGACCACTCGATGTGTGGTTTAGGTGTACGATACAAATTGGATTCTTGGTATGTCAACGAAATGCAAATACTTTTCGTATATATTTGGGAAAATACCACCAAAAATCTCAAACTATGCCATTTGTGACAAATTTACCCTGAACTTTTTTTTGTGATACGAAAAATCCCAAACTATGCCACCTGTGATACATTTACCCCACAATACTTTGGCCATGGGTATTTTCGTCTTTTTCCTTTCTCTTTTTTTTTTCCTTTTTTTTTCTTTTCTTCTCTCTGCAGGCGTCAGGCTACCCTCACCGGCGTCGGGCTACCCTCGCCGGTGTTGGGCAACCCTTGCCGGCGTTGAGCGAGGGTCGCTCTCGCTTGGGCGGGCGAGTCGGGCTACCCTCGCCGGCGTTGGGCAACCCTCGCCGGCGTTGGGCAACCCTCGCCGGCGTTGGGCGAGGGTCGCTCTCGCTTGGGCGGGCGAGGGCTGCCCTCGCCGAATCTGGCGAGGGCGACCCTCGCCAGTGTAGGGCAAGGGTTGCCCTCGCCCACCTAGGCGAGGGCGACCCTCGCCGTCATCAGGCGAGGGCTACGCTTGCCCGACACCGGTGAGGGAAGCCCTCGCCCGACGCCGGCGAGGGTCACCCTCGCCGGCAGAGAGAAGAAAAGAAAAAAAAAGGAAAAAAAATAGAAAAAGGAAAAAGACGAAATGCCCATGGCCAAAGTATTGTGGGGTAAATGTGTCACAGGTGATATAGTTTGATTTTTCGTATCACAAAAAAAAGTTCAGGGTAAATTTGTCATAAGTGACATAGTTTGGAGTTTTGGGTGATATTTTCCCTATATATTTAAGCTATTTACCCTGAGTTTTCTCTTATCTCGACAAAAACTATGATGTAAGGGCAATCTATATTTGGTTTCAGAACTACCCCACTTGAGGTGAGGTTGGTTATCTCATCATAAAAAGAAAGAGAAGAGAGCTTTAAAGAATCTTTTCTTGTAGCCAAGGCCTTTTTTAAGCATGACAGGTGTTTCGAAATGGGCGGGCTTGTGATCTTTTCTTATACAATAATCTGGAAGTTTTGAACCCAAAGGATGTAGCTATCGACAAATCGAGTACTGAACCAAGGGCACAAAGTATTTTAGGTATCAGGAAGGAGAAGTTATTTAGTGCGTGTATTAGATATACTAAACCGAATCCTGATCGTCCAATCTAATGCATTCACGTGGAACCCACATAGGGCCTATCAGACTGGATGATCGAGATTTAATCGAGCATATATGTTGCACTCAATGGATACTTGCTCATCCCATTCAAAACTGATACTCTATAACGAGTTAATCATCATATTCGTGTTGCATGATTCTCACCAACTTTGCAATTAAATTTTAAATAGTCATGCCTTTTATAGTTTCATCTATTTACCGGTCATTGTCGCATGATTTAATATAACTTTTTCTTAATGGATGTTCTTGTAGGATCAAAGTCCCATATGAAATTTGAGGTAAATGTGGCACAGTGTATTTATTTGAGATTTTTTGTGACATAAAAATTAGTTTGGATTAAATGTGGCACGAGTATACCAGTTTGAGATTTTGTTTGTATTAAACCTAAATTAAAAACAGGGCCGAGAACTTCCTAAATGTGATACGTTTGGTTTTGAATTGGGCTCCATTGGCACATTCTTTCTCAATGACAACTGAACGATAAGCCCAAGCCCCATTACTTGCTTTTTTTTTTTTTTGGTCAGAAACTATTACTTGCTTGATTGGAATGCTTTCGCTTTTTTTCTGCTTTTGCTAATTTGGGTGTTTCAATCGCATTCGTTTTAATGAATGGTGTGAATTTTATTTTGACTTGAATTTTCTATTTTGAACGGTTCAACTGATGGACTTTTATTTTCATGAGGAGGAATTCTGTTTGACTTGAATTTTATTTCATTGCGAGTGCCCAAAACTTTTAGGAAGTAATATTTGGAGGACAATTCATCACATTATCGCTATTTTAAGAATTACTATCTCATTTCATGGCTAATTTCGCTTCCAGGAGGGGAAAAAGAATGGAAAAAAAGAGAGTACAGAAATGTAGAGAAGGATGCACCATTGAAGCTCGACAGAGAGCCGGTGAGGATTTACGAAAGGGACAACCGAGATGAGGGTCGCGGAGGAGGTGAGGAGATGAGGAGCTTTATGAGAAAGAAGGCAATGAGTGCAAGTAAAGTTGGGCGAGGGCACGGCCTAGCCGGCCACAAGAGAGGTTATCGGCCACAAGAGAATAGGAGTTGATGGTAAAGGAGAGGAGGCGCTAAAACTCAAATCTGGGTTTAAGGTCGAAGACGAAAAGAAAAAAACGTAAAGAAAAAAGAGAAAAATTAAAAAGAAATAAAAAATTGCAAAATATCGTCCAAGCCAGCATCGGTTGTGTCATGTAAGACGGTCAATGTAGACTAGACGGTCATGTCAAGGATTTCTAGCCAAATTTGACCGTAAGAATTATATTGGAAAATCATCAAAAGGTTTAAGATTAAATTTGTCATATTAAAAAGTGTAAGACTATGTTGCCCGCCGTATGATAAATTTAGGATTTTTTGAATAATTTTTCCTCTAAAACACGTGACATATTTCAAATCATTGCTTTGATCTTTTCACGTATGTATAGTCATCTTCCGATCTCAACGATGCACATTCACACTTTGAGAAGGTACAAATTTCGTCCATTCTTTGCCGTGACTCTATTGCTTTGAAAACTAAATAAACACAATAAATACTCCACGATGACAACGGACGAAATCAGTGACTGATTTGTTTGTGTCAAGGACTGTAGTTGAGCTTAACTACTTTTCTAAGGTTTAATAACCACAACACAAGGTCATTCTCTTTGACTGCCTCTAAGAATTTGCATAGCTACCTCAATGGTCACTTCAGGAAGGTGAAAGTCGCCGGTCAATTCTCTCTCGTGAGTTCAAGAGATAATGGCGAGTCAACTGCGGCAACAACGGTCGTCCTGGAACATCTGTCTGCTTCTGGGATAAGTCCTGCCCATAGACTAACTCTTACTGCTAATTTGCGTATTCTTGAGCCCGAAACCTGTCAAAGGGAAACAACAAAAGGACCTCGGAACATTCACAAGAAAAATCTGACGCTTGTATAATGCTACACATACATTACCTCTGGTTGGGTGCTGCTTCGACTGCATACCTGGTACGAGTTCGAAGCCCCTCTAGGCAATTCCCCGATCTCACTTGGGTTATGGATGGTGCACGTTCCACTCGCAATTATGAAAAGATTATGGGTTCACAAATCATTCGTCAAATGATTTAGCATACTTTGTTTTGAGTACTAAAATGCCATATTCTTTTTATTTTAATAAGCAACTATTCATCGTGCACATCACTTTCCAAATCAATTTTGTAAATCTCATAGCATTAACTATTTATAGCTTCTAGCAAAGGCATACATATGTTCATGTTTAGGTTAAATACTTGCTGTCTTTTTCATGCAACCATTTTTCTAAAGTTTGACATCCTATTACAGGGCCAACTTTCAGCAACCATTAGGAAATTTTTTTAAGGCCTAATTTCAAAACGTAGGATGGAGATTGTTAGACGTGACATATGTGTCACACAATTGACTCGTGCCAATTACTCCCCATCTGTATTGTCTGCGTTGACTCACACGGGGGAAGACTCAGTCGAATACAATTGTGGGTGGTTCTAATTTCAACATAAACTTAGCCGTCAATTTTTTGAATTTGTCGTAATTTGTTTGAAATAGTCGAAAGGTTGGTCATATTTATAGGTAGCAATTTAACTTTACAAATCATAATTGACTTGTAACCGTCATAACTCATTTGCATTTATAACTAGTAATATACCTTTATGGACGGTAATCTGATTAAAGAGTTTGTAACATGAAAATGCCTCAAATTTCATTAAGTTATGATACCTGTATATAGTAATTTTCGTTGATAATTGTAATTTTTTGGTAAGTCATTGTAATTGACAATTTAATAACCATCTTTGACATTCAATCATTGTTTTAAAGTCTCAGGTTGAATATCCTAGCATTTATAACTTTCTATGAAAAATTGTAATTAACCTAAACTTATAGTGGATTGGTTTTTCTAATCTTAGTAACTTATGTCGATTATTATAATATTCTTTTGCAGTTTGTAAACTTAAAGTCCCTATCAGTGCATTACTATTTTCATGTGTTGTAATTTTTCTCAATAAATAATGGCACCGGCAATCTTACCGTCAATAATATTTCTTAAATGTCAGTGAGTAGCTATCTTTGCAAAATCAATCAATAGTCGAAATTTAATCTTTCTTAATCTAAAGACCCTTATTGTGCTACCATGTTGATGGATTTTCAATTGGAAAGGCCGCTCATCTATCCTCCATGTGTGTACGCATGGACTACAGGGGCTGTACGTTTGGAATTGTGAAAGCTGATGGGTGACATTACAGGAGGTGGATTTGTCAGAGTCAAAGTCAGAGAAGGCGGAATGATGCAAGAAATGTCAAATGTCCTATTAGATGGAGTCCCTCTCTAACGTTTTCATTCCAAGCAACTATTTCCTTTTGGGAAAAAGGATAAAAGAGTCTTAAGT